GTGGTATGATTTATTGGGATGCTCCCGGGTATCCTCCCTGACTGGAGTACTGTGCTGTGCAGGTGAATAGTGATTGTACCCCCGGGGTGACTCCCTGGCTGGAGTAGGCGTGAATGCCTGGTAGTTGGATAGGCTCTTAGAATTCCTGTTTGGCGCACTCGCGGAATCCTGTAATGGGCCGTTTGTGGCTCCATTGTTGGAGGTGGGCAGCAGCTCGTGCCCCTCCCTTTTCTCTAAAGGGTCCCCCTCCCCCCTGGAGAAGACCCAGGAGTCTCATCTGAAAGATCCCGCCTGTTGTCCAGGGCTACCTCGTAGGATAGAGGACCTGTGACCCTGGAAATAGAAGCAGGGACCCATGTATGACCAGGCCCGTAATTGCGAGTCCAAACCGGGGCACCCACAAGTAGTTGTCTAGGTGCCCTAGGATGTGAGGTAGATGAAGGCAGTCTGTCCGGATGCAACCGGTCAAGCTTCGTAGTAAGTTTGCGCCCCCAGCGAAGTTCAGCTGGGCTTCTCCCTGTAGAAGTGGACAGTGTGGTGCGGTAAGAAAGGAGAAAGTCAGCCAACCTGTGATGCCAGTCCCCATAGGTGAGTCTTTTCAAGGCGTCCTTTGTGATGCAGACCATGCGTTCAGCCATACCGTTGGTGGACGGGTGGAAGGGTGCAGACGTGGCATGACGAATCATGTTAGCCTGTAAGAAAGCTTGGAATTCGGAGGAAGTAAATTGAGGGCCGTTGTCAGACACGATGACATCTGGGAGCCCGTGTGCAGCAAAAATCCCCCTCAGTACCTGAATAGTCTTTGCAGTGGTGGTGGATGAGACAGGTACAACCTCAAGCCATTTTGAATGACTGTCAACAGGACCAAGAAGAACTGGCCCTGAAAGGGCCCAGCGTAGTCAATGTGCACCCTAGACCATGGGGACTGTGTTTCCTCCCATCTATGCACAGGAGCTTGGGGCATCTCTGGGCGAGAGCGCTGGCACAGGTGGCATGCATGCACCTTAGCCTCAATGTCCTTATCTAAACCAGGCCACCACAAGTGGCTGCGCGCAAGGGCCTTCATGCGAACAATGCCAGGATGACCCTCGTGGAGGGACTCTAAGATCCTAGTCCTCATTGAGGTGGGAATGACAACTCTGTTTCCCCAAAGCAGACAACCCTGAGAAGTGGACAACTCGTTCCTTTTGGACCAGAAACTCTGAAACTCAGGACTAGGGCAGTGCTCAGGCCATCCAGACAAAACCCAAGAAAGGACACGTGAAAGTGTGTGATCTGTGCCTGTTTCAGCGGCGACATCCCTGGCATTCAGAGGGGACTCGGGCAAGGCTTGGATGGATAGAATGTTGGCAGCTGGCGCAGGGTCAGCTTCTACTACTGGCAGGGGCAATCTACTGAGGCCATCAGCATGGCCCATTTCTTTCCCAGGCTTGTGGAGTAAGGAAAAATCATATGCAGACAGAAAAATAGACCACCTAAGCATTCTAGGGGAAATGATTTGGGGAGTTTGTTTACGTGTGGTAAACAGTCCCAGCAGAGGCTTATGGTCAGTGAAGACCGTGAAATGCCTGCCATACAAAAATCATGGAATTTTTTAATTCCAGCAACAACAGCCAGAGCCTCCCTGTCTATCTGAGCGTAGTTGCGCTCAGCAGAAGACAGTGTTCTGGAGTAATATGCAACAGGAACCTGAGTTCCATCAGACCTGAGGTGGCTCAGGACGGCTCCTACCCCGTAAGGGGAAGCATCACAAGCGATGCACACAGGAAGGGACTCATTGAAGTGTGCAAGTACACTGTTAGAAGTGAGTAAAGCCTTGACCTCATTGAAACTAGCCTCATGTGTTTGTGACCATTGCCACACTGCTTGTTTGTCTAATAGCCTGTGAAGAGGCTCAGCTACACTAGCTTTATGTGGAAGAAAGGAATTGTAGAAATTCAGGAGGCCCAGAAAGGCCTGAAGTTCGGCCTTAGACTTTGGCCTAGGTGCTTCTAAAATGGCAGTTAGTTTGGATTCAGCAGGGTGAATCCCAGCAGCATCAATTTTGAATCCCAGAAATTCAGTAGAAGGCACCCCAATTTTGCATTTGTCTTTTTTGAGCTTGAGGCCTGTTTTCCTGAATCTTAACAGAACAGCCCTTAGCCTTTCAGCTAGAATGTGTGTGGAGTCTCCTGCAATTAAGACATCATCAAAGTAGGGGCAAACCCCCGGTATGCCCCGTAGTGTGTTTTCCATTACGCTTTGGAAAATCCCAGGAGTGACATTCACTCCAAACTGTAGCCTTTTTACCTTAAAGGCTCCCCTGTGGGTCACAATAGTCTGAGCTATAGCAGCATCATCATCAACAGGCAGCTGTTGATACGCTTGAGCTAGGTCAAGCGTTGCAAAAACGCGCCCCCCCTTGAGGGAGGCCAGAATATGACTGACCACAGGAACAGGATAGGCATGTTGCTGCAATGCCTTATTAAGAGTGCATTTGTAGTCAGCACAAATGCGAATGTCTCCATTTGCCTTTAGAGGCGTGACAATGGGGGTCTCCCAAGGGCTGGAATCAACAGGTTCTAGGATTCCCTGTTGGATCAGTTTGTCTAACTCAGTGTCAATTTTACTCTTTAAAGCAAAAGGGACCCTTCTTGCTTTAATTCTAATGGGTGTGACAGTGGGGTCTAGTTTTAAGGACACAGGAGGTCCCTTGAATGTGCCCAGCTGGGGGCTGAAGACATCTGCAAATTCTTTGCAGACTTCCTGTAGGTCGAGTGTTTGCAAGCTGTTGAGCCCCGTGACGTGTATCCCCAAGGCTTCAAACCAGTCGAGTCCTATGAGATTCGTTCGTTCACCCCCTACTACTAATATGTCTAGTGGACCTTCAAAATTCTTATACTGTACGTTAAGGGTGGCCTCCCCCTTAACACACACTCTCGAATTTTGAAAGTCTGTTAACACAATGTCAGAAGGCCTTAATTTAGCCTGAGTTCCACTGCCGGAACAAATCTTCCTAAATGTATGTAAGGATATGATTGAAAGGGCAGACCCCGTGTCTAGTTCCATAGTTAATGGAACCCCTTGTAGCTTCACCTTGAGTGACAGCTTTTTCTTGATGGGCTTGTGTGTGCCTGTCCTGAAGATGCTTCTTCGCGAAGCGCAAAAACCTACCCTATTCTGGCTGGGGACCCTGGTACCTTTCAGGCGCAGTTCTTCCTGAGGTTGTACCTTTCGTCGGCCCAGACACACAGCTGCAATATGTCCTTGTTTCCCGCACGCCCGGCAGATAGCGGAGCGGAACTTGCAGTCGGTTCTCCTGTGGCGACCTCCACAGCCGATGCACTTGAGGGGAGCTGCAGAGCTTCCTTTCTGATTCCCTTCCTTCGTGGGGTGGAGACAGTCGACTTCCCCGTCCGGATCCTCCTCGGAGTTCCCTTGGACATCCTCTTGGTGCACGGATGCAACATCTGGGCTGTTCCTGATCGGCCGCATGTTTTTGATGGCGCCGCCTGCTGCTTCTTCTGCGGTGACCTCTCTTAAGGCATCTTGGAAGGACAATTCTTCTTTGGCGAAAAGCCTCTGTTGTAGCTCTCGATGCCTTAAGCCGCACACGAATCGGTCCCTCAGTCGTTCTTCGAGGTCCTTGAACTCGCAGTGCTTGGTGGTCTTCCTCAATGCGGCGATGTATTCTTTGGCCGACTCTCCGGATCGTTGATCCCTCTGCTCGAAGGTGTGGCGCCATGCGATGACGGACATCTTGGGCTGGAAGTGCTCCTTCAATAGCTTCTTTAGATCTGCGTAGCTGACAGACTCTAATGGGACAGGTGCTGCAAGGTTCTCTGCGATTTCGAAGGCGTCTTGACCGCAGACGCAGAGCAGGGTGGCAGCCTTCAAGCTATCTTCCCTCACTTGGTTTACCTTGAGGTAATTTTCCACCCTGGCTACGTAGGACTCCCACCGCTCTGGATGTGAGACGTCGAATTCCGAAAGCCTTCCGACTTTTGCCATTTTCAGGAGACGGGTCTATCAGCCAGCCTACCCCCGAATGCGCACTGGATTGGCGGGTAGCTGCTGAGTCAATGCCGTTCCGCCGCTCAGGACTCACTTGGGTAAGCTTACACCTCTTCCTTTCCAGGCGATGTAAGGCATCCCACCTTCATCGCCAGTGTTGAGTCCTTGGCGAAAAGCAGACGCGAGAAGCGGTTGTAGTTCTCAAGTTTCTTTTATTCTGTGTTCAGCTTACAGGTGAAGGCTTCGGCAACGCCCAAAAGCTCCCAGCCTCTTATATAGACAGTTCCCGGGTCAATGTGTTACTTTTCCCGCGCCAGCACCCGCGCATGCGCACAGGCGCTGGCGACAGCCTGTCTGGTCCCGGGCAGCTTGCACCTGCCCGGGACTGCCTGCAAATGCCCCGAGCCCATTTGCAAGGCTCGGGACATAACAGCCTCTAAACTGTCTACCAAGATTTCCACAGGTAGCAAAGCACAAAAGGCAAAACCATATGATAAAAGCTCTGCCAGCCTCTTCCTTTCACCTCTCTCCCCTGGCCTCAAAGTCCCTGTTCTGCATTCTATCCTGGGAACAGGATATGTTTTTCTTCTGTCACGCCTCATTTTATCGTTTTTTGCAGAGAATCTGCAAGTGGTCAAGAGACTCCAACTTAACACTTGCCAAATCTCTTCTTAGAACATGGTAACTCGTATTCTTCATGACTCAATCACATTATTCTGGGAAGGCATCTGGGAGAAATTAAGCTGCATCCCCAAGAAGAAGAAGTTTATTATGTTGACATTGTGTGTTAAGCCAAGCTTTACTTTCATCCTGGTTTGTTAAATAAACCATAGTAGCTTGGAAACCACAATAGCTAGAGATACTATGCTGTAGGCACAGTCTGGGCTCTGCCATTTGTTCTCTTCTCTGCCTTTCCCTTGGTATCCAGGGGTACAGGTGATTGAGGACACAGGCCTAAAACCTCCCATCCAATTGCCAAATCGTTTCACATTTCATAAGTATTGGGCGTGGCTGCCTCTTGATGCCCTACCTTTTCAAGAGGCAGAGATTTCATCCAGATTTCATTTGTGCAAAGCGGAATGCCTAGATTTTATTTCTGTCAGCCAAACGTGTGAAGAGGCAGCAGAGGTATGTCCCATGCTTGAAATATTTGTTTTTTGCTTTTTTTTCACTGTGCTCTGAGAATGGAAGGGATGCCTTTTGCTTGAGAGAATATTTAGCTTCATTGTTTGGGAGTAAGCAAGTCTCAGTTCTCATTTCGTTTCCAGCCTATTGAGAGCTTCTCTCTTTCATTGTAACCTGGGAATTAGAAGGTTTAAATAACAAACAAATATTAATTAAAATTTGGATGGATTTGCACATAGAATCATGATTTCTTTAAAAGAAGCAAAAGACATTCACACTTTCTAAAACTAATACTGCTTTGCAAGTTGTGGTTACCTGTAATTTTATTTTTGGCCAAGTTTTCAGTTGCATGATAGTTCTAACTAATTTCCTGTGGTTTATTTATGAATAATGAGTACATATATATTTGAAGTTTTCAGAACAACCTCTAAAAGGAGAATTTTAAAAAAAATTGTCTGGAGTTGAATTAATGCACAAAATGTTATATTCCATAGGGATTGAAGAAGAAGTTTATTAGAGTAAATGATAGTTTAAACTTTCTCATGTCAGTTACAAGAAATACATGCATTTCCTCCATTTGACACTGGACATATGAGTGAGATATTCTGGCTCAGAGACATAGATAATTGCTTGAATGTTATCTGATGTCTCAAAATTTATCCTGGATGTCAGATCTTTTGCAGAAATATTGCAGTTACAACTATGGATTTGGTAGAAGAGCTGTTTAATGTAAAATAGATGTAATTAAACGAAATACACATTTATTAAATTTGTATGCTGCTTGACTCCTAACAACTCTGGATGTCTCATAAGTAAAATAAATGCAATAACAAATATAAATAAAAGATCAAAGATGGCAAAGATGACAAGAATTGGTCAGAAATGAAAAAAGAAAAAAAAACCACACAATCCAAGGGGCCTGTACAAAGAATCAGGTCTTCTTCAAGTCCCTTCAAAAGAACAGCAGGTTGGAAGCCATCCCGATCTTGGGTGGAACCTCATTCCAGAGGTCAGGGTTGCTCTCAGTTTCCAGTGGTTTTTTTTTGCAACTTTACTTGAGTCCAAAAATTTGCACGGAAGGGTTGACATTTGAGATTATTTGTCCACCTGTATGTTTTGACCTTTAAAATTTCTTATCTGCAAACAAAATATTTTTAATTTTTCATCTTATGGAAAGATAAATTGGGACAAAACAGAAGCATGGTCAAACATTCATCTGAATAAGAGTTATAAGCACAAGCCAAGAAAAATATTTTTCCTGATCAGTCATTTAGACCTTTTCACATCTTCAGGGACAGATTGCTAATTAATTTGTTAAATTATTCTTACAGGCATCATCCAAACTCGTATATATTATCAAAACACGCAGGTCTGTATGGAAGACATAAAGTTCATTGTGTCAACCATGACACATTGATTATAGCAGAAGGCATAACAAAGCCTGGGGTGAGGTCAAAAGTGGGATCAGCCTAGAATCCCTATGTAGCCACAAACTTACTAAGTCCAGCCCACTGTGAATTATCTAACTTCTAGGACAGTGGTTCTCAACCTTTCTAATGCCGCGACTCCTTAATACAGTTCCTCATGTATTCCTCATGTTCCTCATGTGGTGACCCCCAACCATAAAATTATTTTTGTTGCTACTTCATAACTGTAATTTTGCTACTGTTATGAATATTAATGTAAATATCTGATATGCAGGGTGTATTTTCATTGTTACGAAGTGAACATAATTAAAGCATAGTGATTAATCACAAAAACAATATAGCAATGCTTGCTGGAGAAGCTTACTCTTCCTTGCTCAAAAATGTTGGGAGGGAGGGAAGGGGAAGGAAGGAAGGAAGATTGAAGGGGGAAGGAAGGAAGGAAGGAAGGAAGGAAGGAAGGAAGGAAGGAAGGAAGGAAGGAAGGAAGGAAGGAAGGAGAGAGAGATTGAAGGGAAAGGGATGGAGATGGAAGGAAGGAATGAAGATTGAAGGGGAAGGAAAGAGAGATTGAAAGGGAAGGGATGGAGATGGAGATGGAAGGAAGGAAGGAGATTGAAGGGGAAGGAAGAAAAGAAGAAAGGAAAGAGAGAGAGATTGAAGGGAAAGGGATGGAGATGGCAAAGGAAGGAGATTGAAGGGGAAGGAAGGAGAGAGATTGAAGGGGAAGGGATGGAGATGGAGATGGAAGGAGAGAGAGATTGAAGAGGAAGGAAGGAAGGAGATTGAAGGGGAAGGAAGGAAGGAAGAAAGGAAGGAGAGATTGAAGGGAAAGGGATGGAGATGGAAGGAAGGAAGATTGAAGGGGAAAGGAAGGAAGGAAGGAAGGAAGGAAGGAAGGAAGGAAGGAAGGAAGGAAGGAAGGAAGGAAGGAAGGAAGGAGAGAGAGAGAGAGATTGAAGGGGAAGGGATGAAGATGGAAGGAAGGAAGGAAGATTGAAGGGGAAAGGAAGGAGATGGAGAAGGAAGGAGATTGAGGGGAAAAGGAAGAAGGAAGGAAGGAAGGAAGAAAGGAAGGAAGGAAGGAAGGAAGGAAGGAGAGATTGAAGGGGAAGGGAAGGAGATGGATAGATGGAAGGAAGGAAGGATTGATCAATCTTTGGAGAGTCATGTTTTTCCAGATGGTGATGAACTGCAACTCCCAGCATTCCCCACTCTTCCACAGAGTGTACACCTGCTTTTTAGGGCTGCTGGGGGTGGTAGTCCAGTAAGGTCTGGAGACATACACAAATACCCTCTGACAGCGAGGGATGCAGGCCGGGCGGCGCGGGGGAGGCTCCAGCATGGCACGGCCCTGCCAAACGGGCAGGGAGGGGGAGCAGGATGGGAGGCAGCACCCGCCCGAGCTGCCTGGGGGGGCAACAGGAGGAAGGAGAGGAGGAGGGCGAGGAAATTAAAGAATAGATAATACATATTCTAAAGTTTATTTAAGTTTATAAGGCTGCCCAATTCTACACTGATACTAGACAGCACACAATAAACACCAGCAAAATGCAAACAATGTAAATGGGAAATTCCACATATGCAGGGGAAAAAAATCTAATTAATTTATGCATTATAGCAACATCATTTATATTACTTTAAAAATATTTAAAGGAGCCGAGGTGGCGCAGCAGTTAGAGTGCAGTACTGCAGGCCACTTTAGCTGACTGTGTTCAGCAGGTCAGCAGTTCAAATCTCACCGGCTCAAGGTTGACTCAGCCTTCCATCCTTCCGGGGTAGGTAAAATGAGGACCCAGATTGTTGGGGGCAATGTAAATATATATATATATATATACACATTGCTTACTGGTGTACACCGCTTAGAGAGTGCTTGCACTTAAAGCGGTATATAAGTCTCATAAATAAATAAATAAATAAATAAATTTTCTACTAATTTCAGAAAGGAGATAAAAAAGTAGATAAACTTGTGAACTATACAAAGTGCTATTGGTGTTGTGGAAAAATAATTTTATTTTGATATTCTTGTAAAATTAATAGAATAGAATAGAATAGAATAGAATAGAATAGAATAGAATAGAATAGAATAGAATAGAATAGAATAGAATAGAATAGAATAGAATAGAAGCTGGAAGGGATCTTGGAGGTCTTCTAGTCCAGCCCCCTGCTTGAGCTGGAGAACCTGTATCAGTAATGGCGAACCTTTTAGAGAATGAGTGCCTAAACCTCAACCTAAAACCCACTTATGTATTGTCAGGTGCCGGGATGTGGCCCACCGGGTGGGCGTGGCTACGGTGGTCATGGCAGACTGGTGGGCGTAGCCAGAGTGGGCATGGCCAACTCAATGTTGCTCCTGGGGAGGGACACCTTTGGGGGCCGGGCAGGGTTGGGGGAGATCAGGTGTCTCTGGCGGGTGGGGCGGTGGGTAGGAGGCTGGTTCTCTGGGGTGAGGCGAGGCAGGGTGGGGGTGCCATGTCGCAGGGCTAGGTGAGGGGCTGGTTGAAGAAGATGGTTGCCGTCTCCGGGGCATGGTGCGTGTGCCCACAGAGAGGGTTCCGAGTGCTACCTCTGGTACATGTGCCATAGGTTCGCCACCACTGACCTATATCGTCTCAGACAGATGGATGTCCAGTCTCTTCTTAAAAATCTCCAGTGATGGAGCGCCCACGATTTCTGGGGGTAAGCTGTTCCACTGGTTGATTATCCTCACTGTCAGGAAATTTCTCCTTAATTTTAGGTTGCTTCTCTGTTTGGTCAGTTTTCAACCGTTGTTTCTCGTCCTTCCATCTGGTGCTTTGGTGAACAACCTGGCCCCTCTGCCTTGTGGCAGCCCCTCAGATACTGGAACACTGCTATCATGTCTCCCCTATTTATTCTTTTCTTTGGACTAGCCAGACCCAAATCCCGTAGCCATTCTTCATATGTTTTAGACTCCAGGCCCCTGATCATCTTAGTTGCTCTTCTTTGAATTTTTTCCAAACTCTCAACATCTTTTTTGTGATATGGTGACCAAAATTGGCTGCAATAGTCTAGGTGTGGTCTTACTTGGGCTTTATAAAGCAGTAATAGTACTTCTCGTGATCTTGATTCTATGCCTCTGTTTATACAACCCAGGATTTTGTTAGCTTTTTTGGTTGCTGCTGCACACTGCTGGCTCATAGTCAAGCGATCATCTACTAGGATTCCAAGGTCCCTCTCACAGTTACTGTTTTTGAGCCAGGTCTTGCCCAATCTGTACCAGTGCCTTTGGTTTTTCCTGCCTAAATGTAATACTTTGCTTTTCTCCACATTGGAACTCATTTTGTTGGATAGGGCCCATTGTTCAAGTTGGTCAAGATATTTTTAGATTCTGAGTTTGTCTTCTGGGGTGTCAGAATCCAATTATATTTCATCTCTAGTTATCAACTATAGAAAACCCCATTTCTGCCTTCTCTGGATTCTGTCATATGATGAAGGGAAGGGGGTGAACAAAGGGGCTTTATGGCCCTCACTTCCTTCAGTACACTTCAAAAGGACTGGATGTGGATATCACCAAAAGGACTAACCATAACAATGGGGCTATTACCTTTCATGTACTCCTCTCTGAAGTCTCCGTCCAGTCAGCAATAAGGAAAAGGGGGTGGGAGTGTAATGCCTGAGACTGTCGCTGGAAGAAGGAGGTGATTGTGTGGGGCTACTGGGGAACCCTTTAAAACCGAATGGGAGAGCTTGGACCCCAAGTCCTGTCTAGAACGCCTGCAACCATTTTCTCTTAATAAAGGATGCCTGTTGGAAGAATTATTCCAAGAGTTCTGTCTTCTTAAGATGCAAAGTGGGGTGGGTCTTTACAACTTTGCTTTTCCCCACATTGAAACTCATTTTGTTGGATAGGGCCCATTATTCAAGTTGGTCAAGATCTTTTTGGATCCTGAGTTTGTCATCTGGGGTGTTGGCTGCTCCTGTTAGTTTGGTGTCATCTGCAAATTTGATGAGTTCCCCTTCAATTCCCTCATTTAAGTTATTGATGAAGATATTGAAGAGTACTGGGCTTAAGACAGAACCTTGTCGTACCCCACTGCTTACTTCTCTCCATGTGGATGTAGTGCCATTGAGGACTACTAATTCAGTACGGTTTGCCAGCCAGCTGCAGATCCATCTGGTGGTGATGTTTATTTTCATTCAGCAAAGTCTGCTTCGATTTGAGTTTGATTCCAGGTCAACTATATATATATTCAAGTAGTTTTCTGGACAACAAAACAGAAATGGTTTACTATTGCTTTCATCCAAGTATGTTTGTTTGGGGTTCTGATCCAGGGAACTGGCTTTCCTGGCAGTTTCCCATCAGAGTGAAAATGATATCTAACTCCTGCTCTGATTTTCAAGATCAGTTAGTTCAGTGTTTCTCAACCTTGCCAAGATTGAGCCAGATAGTTAATAAAGTTTAATTTATCCAATCAAATGCTTCTTCAGATCTGGTAGAATCATTGACTGGATCTGGTTAATATTAATATAATCCTTATTGAAATTTAAAAATCAGTAACAAAGTTGCAAAGAGAGAAAATACCATTTGAGCAATGAGTGAGATAGTTTTGTATGAGAGAGTAAAATATAATTCTTACTATCAGTGGCATCTTGCCAGATTTAAACGAAGCAGGGAAACTAAGAGATAATTATTACTGATGATAAATTTATTTCTTTGTTTGTCTTTCTAGAGTGAATGCATATATTTACCCACGAAGAAAGTTCTGTTTGGAATAATGCCAGAATCACTCAGGATGCTCTGCTGCCTTTTTATGGTTGGTGAGTATAATTGTGCATGGTTGCTATAAAATTCTCATTAAACGCTTCTATAGCTGCTCTGTGAAATTCTAATCCAGATTCTGTTTTATGAGTTAGAATCTTCATCTTCTCCTCTGAGATATGTGCATGCTAAAGTTGATTATGCGTTCTAGAAACGCATAAACTTTTTCCCATTACACCTCCCTTTAATGTAATCTTAATGGACACACCTTGCCTAAAAACACAAAATGAACACAAATGAACAATGGAAATTTGGGGGAAATGGATTTATTGTAAAACTGTACAGTTCAAAGATTCTTCAAACCTCGCCAGACTTTGTCTACAGCTCCCTAAAAAAGATCCTCCTTGCCATTTGGGAAACCTGCTCTAGAGGAAAGGAAGTTTTTGTTCTTCTTTGTGTGTTCCAAATAAATCAATGAACACTGTGTGATCAGAAAACAGAAGAAATACATATTTAAGCAAGAGGTTTTGTTTATTATTCTTTAAAAATGGTATAGCAGAGAATATTCCACTTATTTGGCTTTGCAGAGAAAGGCAACCTTACTATAGCTTTTCAATAAAATGTCTTTAAGACAAAACCAATGTCTTGTATTTTAGGTTGTGCAATAATGCTCACTCCCAGTGGTGCACTGAAATTCCTGGTAAGTATTGCATTTCTGTATATACTTATATTGCCTACAGACATCTATATTCCTCTCAAATGAGAGGCAGAGAGCCAAACAGTGTGAGGTATTTGACTGTGCTTATTTACCTATTCAAAAGATGTATATGGCCACCCATCCTAAACAGCTCTGAGCAGCTCAGAACAACAATAAAACCAGTGACTATATAGAGAAACAATAAAAAAAAATATCCTTACTCATTCCATTAGAATGCCTCACAGGATTATCCTCATTCCATTTTTCCCATCTTATCCCCTTAGGAAAAGGCAGGTTTTGATGTCTATGGGGATTTCCAATCATCCAGATCATGGTTGTCCCAAAGGTGGTTTTCCAAAAGGCAACTGGATTTTGTTTTTGCTTCTTGGAAAAGAAGCAAAATATTTTCAAAGAAAAAACAAAGAAAGTCCAATTGCCTTTTGGTAAAGCACCTTTGGGAGAGGTCTTGATGGTCTTCTGAAAGGGTGGGGCATCCACAGAAAAGGTACACTTCCAAGGTCCCTCTTAGTTGGCAGAATTTTAGGGAAGGGATCTGGAATGTGCCTACACTTTCTGATCTATTAGACAAGTGGATACTCTTAGGGAGAGGTGGTCCCACAAATAACCAGGACCTCTGCCATCTAGGACTTGAATTGAACATAGAAGGAAACTAGAAGACTGTGCAGCTCACACAATAGAGCAGACATATCAAACACAAGGCCTATGGGCTGGATCTGGCCCGATATGTGGTTCCGTCCGGCCCGGGGACCTGCTCTGGAAAGAGCAAAGGACCGGCCCGCCGCACCTCGGCCCGGCCCAGGCCGACCAGGCCCTGATCTACAACCTGGTTGCATCCGTCAAAGCCAGAACACGCTCAGCCTTAAATCCATGGGGAAGCCCCACCCTGTTTTCTGGGTGCGCACGTAAGTGGAGTCCGGCATCCCTGCTGGCTGTGTTGTCCCGTAGGCTGACTTCACCCAGGACATTGGCGCTGGCTGTCTCCTGTGCCCATACCTGGGGAGCGGGGCAGAGGTAGCAAGGCAGCTCCTTGCTGGTTCCAGTGAATCTTAGTCTGAGCGCGTTCTGGCTTTGATGGACACAACCAGATTGTGTCACCCCCACCAGCACCACCAGCCTCGCAGCCACAAGGCTTTCCTTTCACCGGGACAGACCCCCCCACACGTGGGATAGCAAGACCAGTGGCAATCTTTCCCTTCCCATCACCCCTTCCTGAGCATGGAGGAAGGAAAGAGATGAGAAGGCAAAGGAAAGAAAGGAGGGAGGGAGGAAGGAATGGAGGGAGGAAGGAAGAAATGGAGCAACAAAGGGTGGGAGGAATGGAGGGAAAAAAGGGAGAGGAGGAAGGAACAGAGGAAGGAAGGAACAGGGAGGAAAGAATGGAGGGTGGGAGGGAGGGAGGAAGGAACAGAGGAAGGAAGGGAAGTAGAATAGGGAGGAAGGAATGGTGGATGGGAGGGAGGAAGAAAGGAAGGGAGAAAGGGAGGGAGGAAGGAAGGAAGGAAAAAACAGTGAGGGAGGAAGGAAGGAACAGAGGAAGGGAGGGAGGAAAGAAAGAACAGAGGGAGGAAGGGAAGGTGGGAGGGAGGGAGGGAGGAAGGAAGGAAGGGTGGTGGGAAGGTACCATGTCCCTCCTCCGCCAGAGACCCTCATATCTGTCCCAGTCCTGTCCAGGCACCCCTGAAGCGAATGATGTTGAGATGGCCATGCCCACCCAGTAGGCCACACCCACCCAGTAGGCCACACCCATCCTGGCCACACCCTCAATGAAATTGAGTTTGACACCCCTGCAATAGAGGTATAACATTGGCAAATATATGACTACCCTGCTGCCTTCTGGACCAGGTCTATAATAGAGGTGGCCAAGCTCACAGTCACAAAGATTCTGCTCACCTCCTCAGGATCAACCAGCTCAAACTTCTCACAGATAACCGGGCTCAGATATGTCTCAGTCATTTCCAAAGGATCAGCCAGGCATAGTCCAACTTCAAGCAAAGTCAACTATACATGGATTCCACAATTCCACACCACTATTCATTATTTTTGGAATAAAAAGACAGTTGGGGTTCTTCAAAGATTATTAAATAATAATAATCCCTGGAAAATCTCCCTCTGATTAAACAGAATTAGACTTCTCCATGTTTTGATACAATGATATGGAAGTAGCTGCTTTTGCTTTCTTCTGGGATATTTTTAAGTTTCCTTGTCTAGACTATTACATTAGTCTCCTAAATATTACTGAGGATCTGACGTTGCTTAGCCTTCTAGATTAGCCAAGGAGGGCCAGGGCAGCTACCTGATGGGTTCCTATTCCGCACATTTTTTCGACAACATTCCAGAATTGGCTTGCCATTGTCACTGTTTTCTTTAGGGATGTGTTTTCAACTTCCCACTTTATTCTTAGTACTAGAATTCTTGGTAGTCACCCGCTCAAAGAACAGCTGTTCTAATTCTGGTCTTCCTTAGAAGTCCATTTCTTCCATCAGGAGCAAAGTATCAGGTCCACACATGAAAGTCCAATTAAACTGATTTATTATTACTCATGCCTAGGTACAGGGATATTCTCAACTAAGAGTTAGTATCTGTTAGGAGCTAGAGAAGGGTCAACAGAAATTCAAGGGAGTGGGGGGGTAGGTGGCTATGTAGGGATTCCAGGCTGATCTCTCTTTTAACTCCAACCCAGGTTCTGGCATTTTTTTTCCTACATCTTCTGAGTGCCCTGCACGTTTTATTTGTAAGTGAGGAGAGGCAACCCAGGGATTTCTGTGGCATTCTAAGCAGTGCTTTTTTTGTAAAAAAAAAAAAAAAAAAAAAGTGCCGGAACTCACATACGTCATACAACCTGCCTTGCCTTAAAAAGGTGCCAGAACTCTGTTCTGGGTGTTCTATGACAAAAAAAAGCCCTGATTCTAAGTGTCCAAACTGGCTCCTCCTCACTGGTAAAATCAAAGAGAGATGGGTACAGAGGCACAGGGATTTAGAAGCTTCCCCAGTCCCCTTCTTCTAAAGAAAAGCAAAAGTGAAGGATGTTGAAAGGGAGAGGGGAAGGTAAGACTGGCTGGGAATAATCCAAATGTTTTATTTCCAGTGCTTAAATTGGCCATACTCAAAATGACAGCCATTCCAGGAGAGCAGCTGCCACACATGCTCTCAATAGTCTAGAAACTGGCTCAAAGAGGTTGGTTGATCTTGCCTTACACCCATGACTGCACATTTCTGAAACCAAAAAAATTAATTGACAGATTAAACAACTAAAATGTATTTGGTATTAGCCAACTACTACTAATGAGGAACAATTTAATTGATGAAATAGAAAGTGGAAGAATATTTTTAAACAGTTGTGTGTTTATAATTACTTTAAAACTTGGTCTTACTTCAAACAGTTACTCAGATACATTAACTATTAAATTAATTTGTTTTTCACCATCTCAAAATAATACCTACACTATTCTTATAAGAAATTGAATTAAGTGAATTAATTAAACTGAAATTGTTTTATTTAATTGTTGTCCTTGTTTGTTTTCTACTTAAATTTTTGAAAACTTTTTTTAGAATACATCTGGCCCAGCGATCAGCAAGGAAGAGGCCAGAATGTCAAACCACTTGGTCTGTGAGATGTCTGGAGATTCTATTGCAGCATCTGGTGAAAAATTGCTAAAACAATTAAGTCAGTGCCAGCACCTGACCCCAGATCAAGTTAAAGCAATTCAAGAAATCTTCAGCAGTGGAAATACTTCATTTGGGTAGGACCAGTTTTTTAGTTTGGGGCAGTTTTTTGAAAAGAGATTATTTGTAACATAGTTGGGATGGCCTTGGAATTAAGCCTCCTTTTTGTGTGTGTATGTGAATGTAAATTACAGAGTTGCCTTATCAGTGTGGTCCAAAGTTTTAAAAACTATAAATTTGCACACCAAAAGCTTCCTTTTTTGGTGGTCTTAATCACCACTTGGCTTTTGACTCTCTCTGATTAAGAGGACTGGCCCCAGACTATCTGTTTTAAGACTTAATACTAAGAACATAGTATTGCTTGGAAAATGTTTACGTGTTTTGCCCAAGTCTTTGCTTGGCACTGCCTGGAAATGCCAGAGATTGCCCTTCAACTCTAACTAGATAAATGCTCTGCACAAAATGATGAATCTTGAAGTTTCAGTATTTAGTATTTTTTTAAAAAAAGATGCTCAGGTCCACAAGACATTTGGGTGGCTTGGTGAACAAATTATTGTTGCTGTGTTGCTATTCTGCATTGTCCTACTATGCAACATTTTCTCAACTTTCAGTTGGCTTCAATCCCTTAGGTTTCATTTGGCTTTCTATTCAAGGACACCCAGGCCTAACAGAACACCTTTTAAAAGTCTTAGCTAAGATTGAATAGGTGCTGCCATCTTTTGTGGCATGATGGAAATTGCAGATTTTCAAATGTAAACTGTGTGGCATATTGTATAATAATTTATATAGTAAATGTTTCATTTAACATCAAATCATCCTGCATAAATATTCTGCACAATTATTCTTCCACTGTATCTTACTACTTTTAAACACCTATCAATAGAAACTCTCCTGAAAATGCCAATCATTCTTGATCAGGTGAGATAAAAACCTTGTGGTTACATCTGCACAAAATAAAGGGAATCATTATGCAAAGCATATTGAAATCAAAAAAGAAAGATGAGATATAAATCTAATAAATAAGTAAAATCTACTTAAGTTAGTTAATGCTAACCTGTTTAGCAATTTTTAAAAACTTCCTTTCAATTGTATCCGATTCTTGGAGACTACCTGGACAAGTCCCTAAATTTTCTACACTAGTTTATTCAGAAGCAATTTGTCATTGAATCTTTAGAATCTGCAGGAGAGAATCATGAAAGCCAAGGCCCAGAATGAGCTAAGACTGGCAATTAATGCCAAAAATAACAAAAACATTATTTCAATGTGTAAGGAATGAAAAGAAAGTCAAGGAAACAATAGGTCCACTAATGGAAGCAGATGGCAAGAAGGGAGGGTGAGAAAGCAGAACTGCTTAATTTCTTTTTTGCATTGGTTTTTAACCAAAAAGGAAGAAATAGCCCAGCCTATCAAATGCAGCACCAAGAGAGGTATACAGGTACACAAGTCAAAATAGGCAAGGACGTGGTACTCACCCTGGATGATTACAAATCACCTGGACTAGATAATTTGACAAAGTAGACCACAACTTATTTCTAGGTAAAAAAGAAAAATGTGGGATAGATAGTACCATCACCAGATGGATTCATAATTGGCTGACCAGCTGCACTCTGTAGTCTTTAATGGAGCTACAGCTACATGGAGGGAAGTAGGCAGGGGGTATTTCAAGGTTCTCTCTTGGGCCCAGTAATCTTCAATAACTTCAGAAATGATGAGGAGATAGAAAGGGATTCATTAAATTTGCAGAAAACACCAAGCTGGAAAAAATTGCTAACGCTTTTGAAAGATAGACACAAGATTCAGAAGAATTCTGACAAACTTGGGTCCTGTCTAACAAGATGCAGTTAGGCAATGAGTATTCTACGTCTGATTGCCTCCTACCTAGGACTGAGAGAAAGTGACTGGCTTTGGGCAGTACTAAAACTCCCATACTCCACTTTTTAGCTTGATGCTTTTACTACTACTATACATCAGACTGACTGTTTTTGTTTTGGTATTGCACAAATTCAGCCTGCTTAGTCAGAATATGGTTCAATGTCCTCAGCAAGCCCAATCTGGGTGCATTTTATAATCTTGTTAGATGTATTTGGGGAATACTACCAAATGAACTTGCTATTTCATTCAGAAGTGGCTTGCTGATGTTACTTTTCTCCTAGGCCCCCTTCTACATGGTCGTCTTCTGTTCTGAATCAACTGAGTCCACTGATCCTAATCCTGGATCCCAGTATTCTGGAAAGTATTCCTAAGGTACAATAGAAAAAAACCAAACAGGAGAATTATTGATTTTCCATCAGGACAAAGAAAGTCAAAAAAACAAAATGAGCTTAGAGGCAGAATCAGTATGTTTCAGGTACCCATGACTGAGTCACAACTCTGATCAGCTGTAAGGACCCACTTCAATCCCACATCTTAAGAAAGCAGAACTCTTGGTCCTGTTGGTTTCCTCCAACAGGAACTTTTATTAAAAGTAGTTGATAGCAGGCATAATAGATAGGATCTGAGGGATTCCTTTGCAGATTGATATTTAAAGTGTCCCCAAGCAAACCCCACCCCACAGTTCATCCAGACGGTTCAAATCGGCCAATCCCCAGGTGTTAAATCCATCGTGGGAAAGGGGAGATAACATCGGTCTGGCTCCAGTCATAGCACGCTGTTCAAGCAGGTCTTCGCTCCTCCTTTTGAGAACGGAGAAATAAGTCAGGCTCCGGAGGTTGTATTTCTTTCTCCCCCCCCCCCCCCCACGTTTCCTAGCTGACAGGTTAGGGAGAAGAAAGTTTAGAGATACAGTGCAGGAAGCAAATTGTTACATTGTAGCGGGCAGCAGACACAGAAGCAATACATGAAGCAAAAGGTAACATTATAGCGAATAGAGGAAGGGAAAGCAATAACCCCACAGGCACATCCACCCTACCCCTTGGGAGTATGGCAGAACCCAGGGGAAGGTGAGATTTGTTTTTAGGTCAGAGGGGATAGGTAGAAAGGACTGGGTTGTGACATCAGCTTTTGAATATGATTATTTCCAATTGCACCATTTTCAATAGTAATCTATGAATATCAACTTCAAGGGAAGGTAATAGTAATAATAATAGTAGTAAAGTTGGAAGGGACCTTGGAGTCCAACCCCCTGCTCAGGCAGGAAACCCTACACCATTTCGGACAAATGGCTATCCAGTCTCTTCTTAAAAACTTCCAGTGTTGGAGCATTTACTGTTTCTGGAGGCAGGCTGTTCCACTGATTAATTGTTCTCACTGTCAGGAAGTTTCTCCTTAGTTCTAGGTTGCTTCTCTCCTTGATTAGTTTCCACCCGTTGCTTCTTGTCCTGCCTTCAGGTGCTTTGGAAAATAGCTTAATTCCCTCTTCTTTATGGCAGCCCCTGAGATATTGGAATACTGCTATCATGTCCCCCCTTGTCCTTCTCTTCGTTAAACTAGACATACCCAATTCTAGCAACCGTTCCTTATATGTTTTAGCCTCCAGTCCCCTAATCATCTTTGTTGCTCTTCTCTGTACTCTTTCTAGAGTCTCAACATCTTTTTTACATCGTGGTGACCAAAACTGGATGCAGTATTCCAAGTGTGGCCTTACCAAGGCATTGAAGAGTGGTATTAATACTTCACGTGATCTTGATTCTATCCCTCTGTTAATGCAGCCTAGCACTGTGTTGGCCTTTTTGGCAGCTGCAGCACACTGCTGGCTCATATTTAAGTGATTGTCTACTAGGACTCCGAGGTCCCTCTCACAGTTACTACTATTGAGCATGGTGCCACCTATGCTGTACTTGTGCATTTGGTTTTTCTTGCCTAAATGTAGAACCTTGCTTTTTTCACCATTGAATTTCATTTTGTTAGTTAGTGCCCAGTGTTCAAGTCTGTCCAGATCCTTCTGTATCTGAAGCCTGTCTTCTGGAGTGTTGGCTATTCCTGCCAGCTTGGTGTCGTCTGCAAATTTGATGAGTTCCCCATCTATCCCTTCATCCAAATGGTTGATGAAGATGTTGAAGAGTACTGGGCCCAGAACAGAGCCCTGGGGCACCCCACTACACACTTCCCTCCATATAGATGCAGTTCCATTGAGGACCACTCACTGAGTATGGCCGGTCAGCCAGCTACGGATCCATTTGGTGGTGATTCTGTCTACCCCACATTTTTCTATCTTATCAAGTAGTAGGTTGTGATCTACTTTATCAAATGCCTTACTGAAGTCCAAGTAAATTATGTCCACAGTATTCCTCTGATCCACTAATTTTGTCACTTGGTCAAAGAATGCAATAAGATTTGTCTGGCATGATCTATTTTTGACAAACCCATGTTGGCTTTTAGTAATGACTTTGTTTGCCCCTAGGTGTTTGTTGATTGGTTGTTTGATTATCTTTTCCAGGATCTTCCCAGGTATTGAGGTCAGGCTGATAGGTCTGTAATTTCCTGGATCCATTTTTTTTCCTTTTTTGAGGATGGGAACTACATCAGCTCTTTTCCAGTCCTCTGGTAGTTCCCCTGTGTTCCAGGATCTTTGAAAAATATAGTTCAGTGGCTCTGATATCACATCTGCCAGTTCCTTGAGAACTCTGGGGTGTAATCCATCTGGTCCTGGCGATTTGAACTCATCTAGGCTGGACAGGTGCCCACTTACCATTTTCTTTCCTATCTTAACTTGTGTTTCTATTTTGTTTTTTATGGCACTATTTTTGATAGGTTGGTCTGTTTTTTCCCTTTGTGTAAAGACAGATGCAAAAAACGAGTTAAATAGTTTGCTTTCTCCCTGTTGCTTGTCACCTTCTTGCCACTTCCACCCACTAATGGACCAATCATTTCCTTCACTTTTTTCTTGTTTTTTACATGTTGAAAGAAGCTTTTTTTGTTATTTTTGACTTTGGTCGCAAGCCTTAGTTCATTTTGAGCCTTGGCTTTCTTCACTTCATCTTTGCAGGCTCGGGCTATTTGCTGATATTCTGACTTAGTTATGTTCCCCTCTTTCCACTTTCTATACTTGTCCTTTTTATCTTTCAATTTGTCAGAGAGTTCTTTATGCAGCCATGCTGGTTTCTTTTGAGAGCTGTTGTTTTTCCTCTTTTGTCACAGGATGGCAAATGGTAAACCAGCAATCTCAGAATTAATAGCATAAAATTAGAATTAAAATTATCAGAGAATAAATGATAGAGGCGGTTAAAGCTGCAGTTTGGGGGAGAGTGACCATGTCATATTAGAATTCAATATAATGCAGACACAAGCAACAGAACATAATCAAATGTAGAGAGAATTTGGGAAGGATACCATGGGTGACAATCCTAAAGGAAAAAACTACTCAGGAAGCTTGAGAAACTCTGAAAATTATGATTATAAAAGCTCAGTTCAGCATAATACCACTCAAAAAGAAAAGCAAGAAATCCAAGAATAATTGCACAAAGAATTCCCTCTCATTTGTCTGAAATGGTATAGGTTCTCCTGCTTGAGCTAGGGGTTGGACTAGATACCCTCTAATGTCCTTTCCAATTCTGAGAAAGATTTCTCCAAATTTCCATCAGTAATTGCTGTAAGATGTCAAGTCTCCTGTAGCTTTTTTTGCCCATTTATGATTTCTCCTGGCTGCTTAAACAGAAAAAATAATAGCAAAGTAAAATATAGACTTCATATTAATGATAAACTTTCAAAGCATTTCATCCAGTAGGACAGTTAAGCTAGAAATTTCTAGATCATGGTCCAAAGAAAGAAAAATGAAAATGTTCTTGGCATCATATTGTTTTGTATCCAATTATAATCTTATATTAAGTGGGAAAAAAATCTTCAGACTCACAAATTGTGATCTCCTTGGATTTTGATGCATTTGATGCATTCTATTTTAGGGCATAGAAATACCAGTTGTTGAAACTCAGGTACCTTGGCTGATGGAAAACAAAATACATCAGTTCCTTTATTCCAGAAGTTCAGTTTCAAACATCACCCAAAGTGTACCTGACAATGGGAACAAAATCCGGCCTCTATTTACCATAATTAGTATGGGATTTCTCAAACCTTGCACTTTCCCTCACCTGATGCTCGCCTTTCTTTCTGCAGAATGTTTTAAGGCCGTGGTTACAAAACTCCATTCTCAATTCTGATTCGTCACAAGATCAGCTGGTCCGTATTAGAGAAAGCCTTAAATCCTCCAGGCCAAAGCGTGACATTGGTATGTAAAATGTGGAGTTGCTTCCTGATAGGGTGTTAGAGCTGGTTCTCATACAGCAACAGCAGATTGTAGGCAGAAGGCAGATTTAAGATTGCATGGGGGGGGGGTGGCAGATGAGATAAAAAAAACAAGATGGTGGCCATAGCTGTGTGCATGAAACCACATCCCTTTTTCTGTGAGGGGTGGTGCTTCAGTCATGTGATCCTGACCACCACCTTGACATTTTTAACTTTCCTGTGGATCTCCTGAAATGCACTGATTTTCATATTGTGAGGAAATATTCTTTTATTTGTTTTGAATGGTGCGGTGGCCTAGAGATGGAGCTCTTGCCTCACAATGAGTTCGATCCTAGGTAGTGGCAGATATTTCTGCTACAAAGAAAATATCTGCTGTAAAACTTTGGAGGCATCAGGAAGGGCATCCAGCCAATAAATGCTCCACCCCAATGCAAGGGATTATAGGTGCTTGTTTGGTTATTTGTATCTCACCAGTAAATGCTCAGCTCCACCCAGTCGCCCTGACTCTATTCCAAATTAAGGTCCTAAAAAGAGAGGTTTTTATTTGTATCCCACCTTTATTATTTTTACAAATAACTCAAGGTGGCAAACACAGCTTCCTCCTTCTATTTTTCCCACAACAAGTCTGTGAGGTGGGTTGGATTGAAGGAGAGGGACTGATCCAAGATCACCTAACTTCTTTTTCATGGCTCTGGCTTTGAGCCTGATGCTTTAAATACTAGATTATAGTTCCATGGACAGACTGCACACACCTGCCCTCCATCTGAAATCCAGAATAGCATATTGTAATATGTTTGGTGAGAGAAATGGTATATGGGGTAACTTTCAAAATTAAATAAGGCTGCCGGCCTGATTTTTTTTAAGCATACTTCAATCCAGATTCAGAATTAATGGACTTCTCAAGGTGCTATTAGCACTCTCTTTTTAATTCCATTTTTGAGAAGATTTCTAATTTGGGTTTTCTTTTCCACTGATTCTTTCTTAATAAATATAAATGATCAATAGAAACATTTGCCAAGATGTTTAGAAAAACATGTAGGTTTTCCTGCTTTTATTCACACAATTTGATAGATCTGAAAATTCTACAACCTTGATTAACTCATGACTTTTCTCTTAGCAAAGTGCCCAGAGAAGAAAATCATCACAGAGAAAATTCTAAATGATGACCTGATTGAAAAGCTTGTATATTATATTCCTGTGGAGCTAAAATTGTGCTTGACTAAGGAAAACCTAGTGAACAATATTAGTGCATTCTCAGACTATCCTTTCACAGATGAACAGCTGATAGCAGTCAAGGAAAAACTGGATGAGGTAATAAACATACCAAATTTTTTTAGCACTTTTAACTATTCTTCATTTATTTATTGTTAAGATTTAAAAAGCTGTCCAACTTAGACAATGTCTCAAAGGAAAAATTATAGAAGTAAAAAAAATCCATATGTAAATACAAAATATAAATATAAAACAGTGACCAAGCAACATGGCCAAACAACTAAAAGGGTCCAACTGGCCCCTCATAAAGCCAGATCTCCAAGGTTTGCCTAAAACAAGGAGAGTTTGGACCTGCCATATATCAGGGGGTGGGGATGATTGTCCTGGAGGCCAGGGTGATCAAAGAAAAGGTCCCATAAGATGACAAGATTAAAAGAAAGAAACTGGAGGACTTTAAAAGTGATACCAGTAATCAGCATTATTTGTGCTGCCATATTCTGAACCAATAGAAGCTTCCAGATAGTTTTCATGGGCTGCTCACATAGTCCAATTGGGAGGTGACTAAGGCATGGGTAACTATGAGTAAAGCCTCACCATCCAGGGATGGATGCAACTGGCATCCAAAGTGCAGTTGTGCAAAGGCCCCCTTGGCCACAGCTGCCATCTGCTCTTCAAGCAGGAGATATGAGTCCAGGAGAACCCTCAGATTGCATACTAAGTCTTAATAGAATAGTGCCACCTCATCCAGAAACAAAATGGAAACTCTGAAGCTCCTGAATCAGGAGGATCCAGAATCCATAGCCACTCAGCCTTGGCAGAGTTGAGCTGTTATCTGTCTTCCCCATCCAGACCCTCATAGTCCTCAAACACTGAGAAAGAATCTCAACAGCTTCTCTTGGATGGCTGGGGACAGAGATCTATAACTATCATCTGCATATTGATTTTACTTCACCCGAAACTGACAGATGACTTCCCCCAGTGGCTTTATGCAAATATTTAAAAGGTGAGGGGGGGAGAGAAGAAGAGTCCTGAGAATCCCATAACCAGATTTAGAGGAAGGAGGAGACACAACACAAAACACTGTCCTCTTCTTCCAATCCTCTTAGCTAATTCCGAAAGCTACCATGATCAATAGTACTGAACGCCAGCAAGAGTTCAAGGACAGCTAGGATTAACACACCACTCCCATCCCTAACTTGCCATCAAAATTTCTTCATACTGTATCCAGGTCTTAATCCTGGATGGATTAATAATAATCCTCCAGGATCTCTAAAGCAGGAGGCCAATCACCTTCTGAACAACCTTTCCTAAAATTGTCCAGATCAGCTGGATCAAAGGATGGCCTTGTGAGGAAGGGATAAGCTGCTCTCTCTCTCAGAGGCAGCTGTGCCTTTCATTCTTGCAACACCTTATGATTGCCAGGAGACCTGTGGTGCTTATCAGGTCAAAAAAAATGTCAATAGCAGTCACAAGTGTGATTGAAATTCCAACTTTTTTATATGCATCACAGGACATTCTAAAAGGAGCAGGGCTTCCACTAAGCAATCATAGTTACCAACTTGACTTCTTTTATGTCCATCCCATGAATGTCCAGATGACTACTAGAAATCCTTCTACAGAAATCATGAGGCCATATCAGAACCAGCTCCTGGACAAATGCATGCATCAAAGAAGTGATACCAAGTTAACATACATTTTTACATAATTATTTGCTCCTTGCAGATATTTCCTGAGGGATATCCTCCTGCTGTAATCAGTAACCTTGGACTCCTTGAAAAACTAATAGATAAAAACAACATCAAGCAATGGACTATCAATTCATCAAGCACAGTTCAAGCTTTATTGGATATTGTATCCAATGATGAGATGGTAATTATGAAGATAATATGGGGCTTTTAATATAAAAATCATTATGCACCCAATCTATCCTGGGGTTTTATTTTCCTTGCTTCTAAACCTTGTGCTTTAAAGAGAAGCAGATTATAAGTTCCTGGCCATGTTTCTCTCCACATTAACACACATTGTGAGTGTGCTATATTCTTGTCATTTTACTTTAGGTCTCTTAGAATTTTTTAGGCAACTAAAAAATTCTTTTATCATGCTGAGTTCCAGAAGCACTGGCTAAGAATTCTGGGCATTGTAATTCATAGAACTGTAGGGTGGAAGGGGTCAAGGTACAGAAGTACTTCTCCAAAGTACAGAAAAGCCAATTAAATCAGCATTGAGAGGTGGATGTCCAGGGTGTTCTTAAAAACATCCAGAGCTGTTATATACTATATAGAGAGACAAAGTTCCAGAAGTAAGATATGTTCAGTAATGGTATAGTCCACCTGTAGAGGTGGTAGGTTTTCCAGCTCTGGATATTTAAATGAAAAATATGTAACCATCCTAATAGTATGAGTAGTTTGAGAGTAGAACCAATTATGAGGAGAGGGAGAGAGCTCCCTTTACTGGATGTAATCAGAAAGAGGCTGGGTAGCTCTCTACTGGGGATGCTTTAACTCAAATTCTTATGGAGGGTTCCACTTGTCACTTGTCTCTATGATGTCATAGTCATTGTTTTCCTCATGTCACAATGATGGCTTCAGAAAGGCCATTTGCAGTCTATCCCAAGGTCATCATTTTGGGTGCCTCTTCAGGTTCTCTTGCTCAAGGATAGTAGAGACACTCCTGGAAGTGCTACAGTGCCCATTAAATTAAATTAAATCATCATTTAGAAATAGGTCATTGAGCAATTTACAAAACCAATGGAAAAAGCACAATGGTGTCTTTTATCATGTACCAAATGTTTTTGAACTGCTGTCTCAAAATGATACCAACAACCAGTAGCCTTGCAGTATTTCTAAAGATAGCTTTGGAACTCAGAATTCTATGCTTGTTTGGTGGACACTGGGCCAGGTTTACACATTGGATTCCATAATGGGATCTATTTGGTTTTAGAATGGTATGATGCCTGAAGTGGGCCATAGTAGCATTGAAACCGTAATTCATGGCTTAGCTTTACATGGAAACCATACCACAGAGATTTATTCAACAAATTGTGGTTAAATCCTACATCAACATTTGCATTTGCTATTTCAACTTACATGTACAGTTGAAAGAGAGCAATCCTTCCAGATGTATGGGGCCAACTTGCCACTCTTCAGGTCTGTTGGGACTGTAATTTCCGGCATTCCAGTGTATTCCCAAATTCTAGAAGTGGCTGTTTTAGCACATTTGGAAGGCATATGTTTGGGAAGGTTAAAGCAACATAAGATTAGAGGTGGCTTGCTTTTGACTCTGGAATTATTTGTTTTAGAGGAGTGCAGTTCTTCAGCGTTACATTGAATTGAGAAAGGAAATTGACAGCGATTTTCTGAATGTGCTTGGGCAACACATCTGTCTCCTGAATGAGGACCAACTCAGCATGATAACTGAAAAGAACATTGAGTGAGTGAATTCTTTCGACATCTATCTATTTCTACCTTATTATTTTTTACAACTAACCCAAGGGGGCAAATAGATCCAACATACCTTCTGTAATGTATTAATGTGAAGTACTTGGAAATGTTGAAAAAACGGCCATAAGACTCTGTCAGTTAAGTGCCAGACTTTCTGTCTACATGCTAATTACTTGTGTTAAAAGCAGAAACTAATACTTGAATCCTATTGGCCTCCGCCTAGTTGCTGAGTGTATAAATAGGGGTGGAGCGGCAGCTACTCCCAAAGCCCAGATTATAATCCATGAGCCCAAAGGAGAAGGAGGAAATGGAAAGATTCATTAAAAAAACCTAGAGATAGGGTTCATTGAGCCTAAAGTGGCTGCCCCGGTCCTCTTTAGAGAGAAGAAGGATGGCTCTTTATGCTTATGTGTGGATTATAGGGCCCTGAATACAATCAGTGAAAGCAACCTATACCCTCTGCCCCTCATGAAAGATATGCTGTCACACCTCTCGAAAGGGAATTTTTTTTTCTAAACTAGACCTAAGGGAAGCTTACTATAGTGTGAGAATTAAGGAAGGGGATGAATGGAAGACGGCATTTAACTGCCCCATGGGGTGCTATCAATTTAAAGTCTTGCCATTTGGATTACAAGGGGCCCCCGCAGTATTTATGCAATTAATCAATGATGTTCTAAGGGAGCACCTGTTTAAGGGGGTCCCTGTTTACTTAGACGACATTCTTATCTTCACTGAAACAAAAGAGGAACATGTCAACCTAGTCAGAGCAGTTTTAAAGAAACTGCGAGCCACCCACCTATATGCCAAACTCTCAAAATGCGAATTCCACCAGGAAAGGATAGACTGCCTAGGTTATCGCATATCCCCCCAGGGCATTGAAATGGACCCAGAGAAGGTCAGAGCAGTATTAGATTGGGCACCACCCCGCACAAGAAAGCAACTACAAAGTTTCCTGGGCTTTGCAAACTTTGACTTCCAATTCATCCCCTCATTTGCCCAGATAGCCCTGCCCCTCACTAACTTACTAAAAATGAAGGGAGCATCCTCAGTAAAACCTAGCCAGCCACTAACATGAACAATGGAGTGCCAAGCAGCGTTTGAGAGATTAAAGAGACTTTTTTCTGCCAAACGAGAACTGAGGCACCCAGACATGGATAAGCCCTTCATAATACAGGCAGATACAAGTGATGTGGCAGTGGGGGCTGTTCTATTAGAAGAAAATAATGAAGGGGTATTGCAACCCTGTGCATATACATCCAAGAAACTCATGGAAACAGAACAGTGCTGGCTCGTACAGGAGAAAGAGGCATACAGGATACGTTGATCATTACTCACGTGGCGACAGTTCCTGGAAGGCAACAAAATCCCCTTCCAGGTATGGACTGATCAAAAAAATTTGGAAGCCCTGAAAGTACCCAGGAAGCTCAATCCCAAACAAGCCCGCTGGTCCCAGCATTTTCACCAGTTCCAATTTAAGCTCAAGCATTTACCAGGGAGAAAGAACTTCCTGGCAGATGTACTATCTCGCATGCCTCAATATAACAGCGCACGAACCACAGACTCTAAACCAATAATGGCAGAGTCACAACTGGCAGCACCAGTAACCACAAGAACCCAAGCTAAATTAAAACCACAACTGGACAGCCAAACTGGAATTGAATTCCAGAAAAGTTTGGAAACAGATGAAATGTGTGCACAATGAGAGACGGGTTGCCTTGGGTAGGAGAAAAGTTATATATACCAACAACCCAAAGAGTCACATTCATGCAGCTTTGCCATGACACAAAATCAGCAGGGCATTTTGGATTTGTAAAAACTTTACATTTAATTAAACGGCAATTTTGGTGGCCATCCATAAAAAAGGACATAGAAAGCTATGTGGCCAGCTGCCCAAAATGTGCAACTGCAAAGAGGTTGCAAGGGAAATCGCCAGGACTATTACAAATAGTGGTAAATCCCTCAGCCCCCTGGAGAGAAATAGCCATGGATTTTATAGTGGAATTGCCAGAAAGCAATGGGTATACTGTTGTCTGGACGGTCACGGACTTGTTTTCCAAACAGGTGCACTTTATCCCTTGCCAAAAGATTCCCACCGTAAAAGCCTTAGCAAAACTTTTCATCCAGCACATTTACAGATTGCATGGGGCACCCCAACGCATCATCTCTGATAGGGGAGTGCAATTTATGTCTGCATTTTGGAAGGAATTTTTATCCCTTTTAGGAACCACTCAGGGACTGACATCTAGCCATCATCCACAAGGGAATGGGGCCGCTGAAAAAATGAACTCAGTACTTGAGCAATATTTAAGATGTTTTCTTAATTTCCAACAGACCAATTGGGCAGACTTACTCCCTTTCGCAGAAGTTGCCTACAATAATGCAGTCCACTCCAGCACAGGTTACACTCCTTTTCAAATAGCCACCAATCAAAGTTTCAACCCCATGCCAGAATTAACCCCACAGGAACCGGCGATCCCATCACTGAAAGAATGGATGGAACAATTACAAAACATCTGGCCAATAGTTAGAAAAGCACTAGATGAAGCTAGGCAGGCATACAAAGCACAAGCCGATAAAAAAAGGGTTGAGCCTACACCATTCATTATAGGAGAAATGGTGTACTTATCTACAAAATACCTAAAGTCCCTACAGCCCTGTAAAAACTTGGACCAAAATATATAGGACCTTTTCCAATTAAAAAAATCATAAACCCAGTAACAGTAGAATTAGAATTACCCAAAAATCTCAGGCAAATAAACCCAATTTTTCATTGCAGCTTGTTGAAAAGAGAGCGTCAGTCATATTTACGGCCAAACATCCCCCCACCACCACCTCCAATCATGGTGGAGGGTGAACAACACTTCGAAATAAAGGAAATCCTTGAAGAAGGGGGTGATTGGGTGAGGCTACCGGGGAACCCCTTAAAACCTTGAATGGGAGAGCTTGGACCCCAAGTCCTGTCTAGAACACCTGCAACCATTTTCTCTTAATACAGGATGCCTGTTGGAAGAACTATTCCAAGAGTTCTGTCATCTTAAGACGCAAAGTGGGGTGGGTCCTTACAGGCATAGAATCAAGATCACACGAAGTATTAGTACTACTTTATAAAAACCACATCTCAAATACTGCAGCCAATTTTGGTCATCATATCACAAAAAAGATGTTGAGAGTCTGGAAAAAAATCAGAGAAGAGCAAGTAGATCAAAGGCCTGGAGACCAAAATGTACAAAGAATGGCTGCGGGACTTGAGTTTGGCCAGACTAAAGAAAAGAAGAAATAGGGGAGACATGATTGCAGTATCTGAGGAGCTGTCACAAAGAAGAGGGGGTCACATTGTTCACCAGAGCACCAGAGGGCAGGACAAGAAACAATGGTTGGAAGCTGATAAAAGAGAGAAGCAACCTGGAATTAAGGAAAAACTTCCTGACAGTGAGGACAATCAACCAGTGGAACAGCTTACCCCCAGAAATCATGGGCACTCCATCACTGGAAGTTCTTAAGAAGAGACTGGACAATCACCTGTCAGAGGTCCTCCTGCTTGAGCAGGGGGCTGGACTAGAAGACCTCCAAGGTCCCTTCCAGCTCTATTCTATTCTATTCTGTTCTAGTCTAGTCTAGTCTAGTCTAATCTATGTAAGTCTAAGTGCTATTGTTGTTGCTGTATCTGATTGATGAGACCAGAGCTATATGGATGAGGAAAAGCCCATCCCAAAGAGAGTCAAAAATAAGCTGAATATCTGATATAGCTCCTTTCAGCTAGTTCTTCGGGCCAATAGCTTAAGTTGCTACTAAAAGCACTAAAATCGTATAGGGAAGTGAAATTGAGGAAAGAAAGAAGTATTGCGAGAGCTGGATCCCTTCCTTTTTCTTATCTTGTCTTTTCTTGGCAGGACGGCCATTCTCCTTGACCCATCCAATTGCTCATCAGCCATCAAGGATCATCTGTATGCTCAAGCCAAGCGGGCTTTTTCTGATCGTCACTACAATTACAGTGAATATTATAAACGGATCAAGCCATTTCTGGGTAAGCAGAAACATTGATTGAGGAAATACCAGTTGAGGTTTAGAGCTTGTTCAAAAAAAGGGGGGGGGAACACACCCAGGAAACTACAGACCAATCAGCCTGATGTTAATACATGGAAAGATCCTGGAAAAGATTTTTTTTAAAAAAAGATCTGTGAATATGTAGAAACAAATAAAGTTATAACTAGTAGCCAGCACGGGTTTATTAAAAACCATTTTTTTTCAATGAAAGTTTTTTATTTTTTCCATATAAACATTATAAAAATCATTGACAAAGTGACTAAATTAGTAGACCTGTCAGAATCCAATTATATTTCATCTTTAATCATCAAATATAGAAAACCCCAATTCTGCCTGGATTCTGCCATAAGAGGGAGAGAAGGGGGAGAACAAAGGGGCTTTATGGCCCTCACTTCCTTCAGTATACTTCTAAGGATTTGAATGTGTTTATTGCAACCTCAAAGAGTTTGAATGTAAATAGCACCAAAGAACCTTACCATGACAAAGGGGCTATTTACCTTTCATGTAGTTTATCTGAAGCCTCCATCCAGACAGAAGAAAGGATCAAAGGGGTGGAATTGTGATGCCTGAAACTATCACTGGAAGGGGGGGTGATTGGGTGGGACTGCTGGGGAACCCCTTAAAACCTTGAATGGGAGAGCTTGGACCCCAAGTCCTGTCTAGCACGCCTGCAACCATTTTCTCTTAATAAAGGATGCCTGTTGGAAGAATTATTCCAAGAGTTCTGTCTTCTTAAGATGCAAAGTGGGGTGGGTCCTTACATTAGACAGGACTTGGGGACTTAGACTTCAGCAAGAACACAACCTACTTTCTGATAAGCTAGAAAAAGGTGGGATAGACAGCATCACCACTACATGGATTTGTAACTGGCTGACAAACTATACTCAACATGTATAGTGTTAATGGCATATATCTATATGGAGGGAAGTAAGCAAGATTCCGTCTTAGGCCCAGTACTCTTCAATATCTTCATAAAAGACTTAAATGAGGGAATAGAAGGGGAACTCATCAAATTTGCAAATGACACGAAAGCTGTCAGGAATAGCCAATACCCCAGAAGACAAGCTCAGGATCCAAAAAGATCTTGACAAACTGGAACAATGGGCCCTATTCAACAAAAAGAATGTTAATGTGGAGAAAAGTAAAGTTTTACACCTAGGCAGGAAAAACCAAAGGTACAAGTACAGATTAGGCAAGACCTGGCTCAAAAACAGTAACTGTGAGAGGGACCTTGGAGTCCTAGTGGACGATCAGTTAAATATGAGCCAGCGGTTTGCAACAGCAGCCAAAAACACCCTAATACAATTTTTGGTTGTATAAAATCATAGAATCATAGAATCAAAATCATGTGAAATATTAGTATCATTTTATAAAGCCTCAGTAAGACCACACCTGGAATACTCCATCCAGTTTGGGTCACCATATTACAAAAAAGATATTGACACTTTGGAAAAAGTGCAAAGAAGAACAACTAAGATGTTTAAAGGCCTGGAGACTAAAACATATGAAGACTAATTGCAGGATTTGGGTTTAGCTAGCCTAGAGAAAAGGGACTATGGGACATGATAGCAATATTCCAGTTTTTGAGAGGCTGCCACAAACAGGAGGGGGTCAAATTATTTTCCAAAGCAACAGAGGCAGTAGAACAGCTGGCCTTCAGAAGTTATGGATGCTTCATCACTGCAGGTTTTTAAGAAGAGATTGGACAGTCACTTGTCTGAATAGGGAGTTGGTCTAGAAGACCTCCAAGATCCCTTCCAGCTGTATTCTGATTGATTGATCTCTAGTGAGAGCAAGATGAGAGTAATGTAACAATCCTCACTCTCCTTGACCTATCAGCAGCTTTCAGTGACCCTAATATTCTTTTGGGTCAGCTGGCTTAATGTCAGATCTGCTCTGACTTGGTCCCTTAGCCAAGAAAGACCTGCCTCAATTAATTCTCCCAAGAAAGCACAACTCTTGAAACTTGCATTGTCTCAACGGGAACTTTTATTGAGAGGTAATGACAGCAGGAGAGTAAGGCAAGATCTAAAGTTTTCCCATGTGAAACATTACATTAAAAGTGCTCTTTCAAAACCCCTCCCCAATGTCAAACCAGTTAGTTTGATTTAGCCAATTTGCAGGTATAAAGTTGTTATGGGAAACAGGTGATACAAGTTCCATCCCGTCTGATTGAAGATAAGGCAGATGGCTGTAGGCACATTCTTCCCTCCTTTCATACCACAAGAAAAGTATTTCAAAGAGGATAAAACAAAGCAAAGGAAATACATTGTAGGCTCCCCAAATCTCCCCCTCCCTTTAACACAAGCCTCCCCCCTTCCAACAAAATGGCAGGACCCAAAATGAAATGAAATGCATATAGAAAGAAATACATTGAGGGTCTAACAAGGCCCTTGACTCCATTTGTAGTGAAAGGTATACTTTTACTAAAAATCAAGTGCATTACTGTACATATAGCAAAGCCAGAACTGAAGTTTGTGCGCCAAAATTTCCTGGTTAACTTTCTCTATCTGGTTAATAACAACAACAATAACAAAACAACAACAACAATAATAATGGAAAGGACCTTGGAGGTCATCTAGTCCAACCCCCTGCTCAGGTAGGAATCCCTATACCATTTCAGACAAGTTCCTCTCCTTCCCTGGTCCCCTATTGTCCAATTACAGGTGAACCGTTGCATTCCATTCCCAGGCTCTGACCTTGAGATGGTGTCTCTGGAAGGTACAATGAGTTGATAGCCTCCCCCTTCTCATCCCACTCCTTTTCCCCTAGTTTATGGCAGACTGACAGCTGGCGAATGTGAAACTCAAACGTATGATGGCAGTTCTGACAAACATGTTTGCACAAGAGAAGTGTACCTTTGAAAATCAGATAGTAGTTTTGACATAACTACTGTCAATAAGCATAATTATTTTGTCTCCAACTCAATTTTATGGTCCAAACAAATATGTCAATTTCAATGTCTATTGCAGTATGTAATGTCAGTTCAGTGTTTTTATGTATTATATATATTCCTCTTAATACAACATATGAACTGAAGAGAAACATGCACTTTTTTGCCTAAGTTTTTAAGAAGAGACTGGACAGTCATCTGTCCAAAATGGTGTAGGGTTTCCTGCCTGAGCAGGGGGTTGGACTTGATGATCTCCAAGGTCCCTTCCAACATCATCATCATCATCAATATTATTATTATTATTATTATTATTATTAATAATAATTTTATGAGTGCATGCATTTGATAGAGACTTTTCTTCAGTATCCTGAGGTACAGGGAAAAACCATGCTAAATTTGGAATGCAAACATGAATTGTGTTGCCACAATTCTATTCCCACCACCATCTTTTCACATGGTTTGGAATTTATTTAATTGAATTTGTTTATTTGGTTGGAAAAGATAAAGTTCTGTAGGTCTAATTTCCATATAGAATATAAATCAGACTAATTTCTTCTCCGTTTTTAATCTATATTGTTATATTTTATAAGTTGAATAACAAAATGAAATTCAATGGTGAAAAAAGTAAGGTTCTACATTTAGGCAAGAAAAAACAAATGCACAGGTATAGTATAGGTGGTACCTTGCTCAATAGTAGTAACTGTGACAGGGACCTCAGAGTCCCAGTGGACAATCTCTTGAATATGAGCCAGCAGTGTGCTGCAGCTGCCAAAAAAGCCAACTCAGTGCTGGCTGCATTAACAGAGGGATAGAATCAAGATCACGTGAAGTATTAACACTACTCTTCAATGCCTTGGTAAGGCCACACTTGGAATATTGCCTCCAGTTTTGGTCACCACGATATAAAAAAGATGTTGAAACTCTAGAAAGAGTACAGAGAAGAGCAACAAAGATGATTAGGGGACTGGAGGCTAAAACATATAAGGAACAGTTGCTGGAATTGGGTATGTCTAGTTTAATGAAGAGAAGGATGAAGGGGGACATGATAGCAGTCTTCCTATATCTCAGGGGCTGCCCCAAAGAAGAGGGAGTCAAACTATTCTCCAAAGCACCTGAAGGCAGGACAAGAAGCATTAGATGGAAACTAACCAAAGAGAGAAGCAACCTGGAACTAAGGAGAAATTTCCTGGCAGTTAGAACAATTAAACAGTGGAACAATCTGCCTCCAGAAATGGTGAATGCTCCAACACTGGAAGGTTTTAAGAAGAGACTGGACAGCCATTTGTCTGAAATGGTATAGGGTTTCCTGCCTGAGCAGGAGGTTGGACTAGATGACCTCCAAGGTCCCTTCCAACATTGCTGCTGCTGCTGCTGCTGCTGCTGCTGCTGCTGCTGCTGCTGCTACTACTACTATTTTATTATTAAAGTTATGTTTTCCTCTTGTCCCATCATTCCTTTCATCTTTTTCCTAATGGCAAAACATCTGTTAAGATGGCAAAGATCGAAATATTGCAAAATCTGTTTTGATGGGTAGTTTTAAGGGCTGTTGTCTCTTTATTCCCAGCACTGTCATTTCATGTGGATTGGAAATAATTTACATTTTATGACCAACACTACTTAAAGGAGTGTTTCTGTCACTTATAATGTCATATGAAGTACCCTGCAAAATAAGCTGTAAAACCCTGGAGGCTCACCATGTGTATTGGTTTGAAATAATTTAGAAAATGTGCAGCTATTAATAAAACATGTTGAAACTATTTCAAGAAAAAAATTCCCACTGCTCTTTCATTTGAGAAGATAAAGAATATCAGCTAAATTTTCTTCTTTGCTTGCAGGAGGTGCTCCGATTGAAGATCTCAGGGCACTTAGCAAAAATGATGTCAACATGGATATGAAAACTTTTTTGGGCCTGAAAAGCAGCTCTGTAAAGGTGAGTGGATTCTAAAGTAAAAGGGGGGCTGAAGTCAGTTTTCCCCAGCCATTCTGGGAGGGTAATTAGGGGAGCTTCTCCAAGAATCCCAAAGACAAACGATTTGGGTGGAGGGGAAATGCTGATGAAAGTTAAAAGAACGTATGGTGGGGGGGGAACCAGATCAATGCCACATTTCTCAGGCTTTGAAGTTTTGTTTAGATTTCAAAGCTTCCATATGGAATATTTTGAATTTTAAAATATTTCAGATTTTAATATTTTAGTATTTTAAATATCACCTTGTTAGCTCTAGTCAACCAAGTCAACATTTTAGTCAATGTTTACATACAGGACTACATACAAACTATGACCACAATTGACCAGCATTTCTGTTGTTAAGTGAGACATTTGTTAAATGAATTTCTTGCTGCCTTGTCTGCCTATGGATGTTGGCTGAAAAGGCAAAGATAGGACACAACTAGCTAGCTGGGTGCAGCCAAATAATGACCCGGGAAAGTCTGCTATGTGCCTCTGAGTTTCATCTTGTCTTTAGATGAAGGAGGGGGAGATGCTATTTTCAAGTGGGTAGATAGAGAAACAAAACTGCTTTGATTCAGCTGTGGATCATGAGAGCATGAAACCTTGTCAGGGACACCAGAACAGATGTAGATTTCCTTTATTCCTGCACCCCACTATATAACACCAATGCAATTATTCCTTTATTTCTGCACCCCACTATATAACACCAATGCAATTATTAAATTTGTGGATGACACAACAGTGGTGGGGCTCATTAATAAGAACAATGAGTCTGCTTACAGGAAGGAGGTACAAGGGCTGACATTGTGGTGTAATGAAAATAATCTCACACTTAACACCACAAAAACTAAAGAATTTATAATTGACTTTAGGAGGAAGAGAGATGTACATCTACCTTTGTACATAAATGGTGAGGAGGTGGAGAGGATGGGTAGTTTTAAATTTCTGGGCACTTATATCTCGGAGGACCTCTCATGGACTATGAATATGCTTGTGAAGAAGGCACAGAAGAGGCTGTACTTCCTGAGAATGCTCAGGAAGATAAATCTATCTCAGCATCTACTTCTATCCTACTATCACAGCACCATTGAGAGTGTCCTGACATACGGCATTCTTGCATGGTATGGGAGCAGCTCTGTAGCGGACAAAAAAGCTCTATAGAGAATTATTAAAACTGCCCAGAATATTATTGGACTCCAGCTACCAGCTCTGGACAACATCTTTGAATCTCGCTGTTTGAGGAAGTTGCATAACATTCTCAGAGACTCTTCCTATCCTGCTTACAATCTCTTTGGACTGTTGCCTTCTGGCAGAAGATACAGAACATTTAAAACTCGGACCACACGTTTTCTGAATAGTTTTTATCCCAGAGCTATAATTGCACTTAATAATGAACTAAAGGGCCACCATCAGTGAACTGTTGGACAGTATTACTTGGTCTGTTGGGTGGATGTTTGGGAGGTTTTAGGGGTGGGAAATTGTGGTGGGTGGGAGTGTGTTTGGGGATTATGTGTGTGGGACCTGGTCTTTGGGTGTCACATAAATTTCGTTGTATGTGTATACTGTGTATACACATAAAATGACAATAAAGTTTATTATTATTATTATTACTTCAATCAAGGGCAATGTTAACTTCACTCCTCCTCTGAAGCAAGTCTTATCTACAGGGTGGAGGTTTTGTGAAAGCAGCAAAATGAATATTGCTCTTAATTGGTTTTGTTCTATTTATTCCGTAGGAATTAACCCTTGAAAATGTGAAAGGCCTGCTGGGCACAAACCTAAATAGCTTGAGGGATAATCAAAATATCCCACTTGTACGAGAGTGGATCCAGAAGCAGAAGCAATCTGATCTGAATAGCCTTGGTCTGGGACTCCGAGGTGGCCTTCCCGAAGGATTTATTGTTCTTACAAGTAAGACCACGCATGCCTCTGCTTGAGAGGAATAGAATAGGAGCCAGATACTGGATATTAGGGAAGAACAAAAGATTTCTGGTGATATGGGGTGGTGTACATTTTTCTGAAGTTGTTCATTCTGGTTTTGTATGCTACCCTTCTGGTAAGATGGTCAGGATAGCTGTATGTTTCCCATTAGTGTTAACTAGCCCGTGGAAGGTGGGAAGGGAAACAACAGAGGTAAAAGTGAAAGTGTGTGGAATTGTGGAGGGTATATTAATTTAAGGATAATCATTCCAGTTCCAGGAATCTTGGAACTTAATCTTTATGTTACTTCTTTTCTTCTCCAGGCACATCTGCACCACCCTTTGCCAATCATTTTTCTCCAGGTTGTATCTGCCTAACCATTCTCCTGCCCTTGCTATCAATTTGATTCCTTTTCTGAAACTCTCCTGCTCCTAAAAACAATAACTTGGGGCTCCAGCTAAGCTTTCTGCTACAATCTGCTACAATTTCTGCTCTGTCATCAGCAGAGAGAATTGTTAGCAGAACGCGTTCATACTGGAGATTCTGTTTCAATCTATACCCTTTCCAATAAAGGTGATACTTCAAGCATGGCTGAAACTTTATTTTTAATAAGCATAGAGAAGGAAAAGGACTTCAGAAATACTCTAGTCTAACCCTCTCGTCAAGGCAGGAGACTTTATACCATCCTGGTCAAATGGCTATCCAGACTATTTTTGAAAATCTCCAGTGATGGAGCACCCACAATTCCAGGACATAAGTTGTTCCATTGGTTAATTAGAAAATTTATCCTTATTTCTAGGTTGGATCTCTCTTTAACAAGCTTCCACCCATTACCGCTTATCCTGCCCCCAGGTGCTTTGGAGAATAAGTCATTCACCTTTTCTCTCTGACAATCACTCCAGTACTGAAAGACAGTTATCATGTCCTTCCAATCTTTCTCTTCGATAGGCTAGATCCCTCAACTGTTCATCATACAATTTAGCCTCCAAACTCTTATCTTTGGTTCTCTACAGTACTACATTTGACTTTTTTTGGCAGCTGCAGCACATTGCTGGCTCATACTTAAGTGGTGCTCCACTAAGACAGGGGTCCCCAACCCCTGGGCTACAGCCCACTACTGGGCTGTGGCTTGTTCGAAACTAGGTCAAGGAGAACTGGGCAAGCCCACACATGTGAAACTCCACTCACACCAATGGAGGGCACTTGTGCTCACATGCGAAACTCCAGTCACATAAGCAGAGGGGGTTTGCGCTGGTGCATGAAGTTCCATTAGTGTGGGTGGAGCTTTATGCCTGAGCAAAAGTGCCCTCTGTTCAAGCACCCTCCACTCACTGTGAAGCTGCATTTGTGCAAGTGGAGGACATGTGTGCCGGCCACTCACATGAATGGAAGTATGCATGCGCATGCACCTGCCACTCACACGCCCACCAAGCCAGGCCACCAAGCTTGAAAGGTTGGGAACCACTGCACGAGGACACTAGATCTCTCTCACAGTTACTACTGTAGAGCCAGATACCACCTATTCTGTAACAACACATTTGATTTTTCCAAACTAAGTGCAGAACCTTACTTTTCTCACCACCAAACTGCATCTTGTTGGATGTTTACAGAGCTTTTTTTTTTTTTTTTTTTGGTCATAGAATGCCCAGAACAGAGTTCCGGCACCTTTTTTGGATGGAATCTTGTAGGGTAGGCAAGGCAGGTTGTATGACATGTCTGAGTTCCGGCACCTTTTTTTGTTTTTCACAAAAAAAGTACTGGATGTTCAAGTTTGTCAAAATTCATCAGAATCTTGAGTCTGTTTTCCAATTCCCTCCAGTTTCTGTCATGTGCAAATTTGATGAGTTCCACTCCTATTATGCTGAAGACTATTTGGTCCAAGACAGAACATTGGGGTACCCTCTGCATACCTCCCTCCATGTAGATGTAACTCCATTAAAAACTACACACTGGGTGAAGTTGGTCAGCCAATTATGAATCCTTCCAGTGATGGTATGTCCATCTCACATTTTTTTCTATCTTATCAAGAAGTAGGCTATGGGTCAAATGCTTTACTGAAGTCCAAATATAGTATGCCCACAGCATTTCACTTGTCCACTAATTTAATCTCTTTATCAAAAAAGGGTATATGGCTTCTCTGGCATTATCTGTTTTTAACAAAACCCTCTTGGTTAGTAATCATCTTGTTCATTTCTAGGTGTTCACAAATCCTCTGCTTGATTATCTTTTTCAGAATTTTGTCAGCTATTGATGTCAATCTGATTAGCCTATAATTCCCTGGATCCATTTTTCCCTTTTTGAAGATTTGTGCCACATCATCTATTTTCCAGTCCTCTGGTAATTCCCTTGTGCTACAGGAGCTCTGAAAAAACTTTCAGTGGCTCCAAGATGATGTCTGTCAACTCCTTTAGAACCCTGGGATGCAAACCCTCTGGTCCAGGTGATTTGTACTCATCCAGGGTGGATAGGCATTCTCTCACCATGTCCTTGCCTATTTTGACTAGTGCACCTGTTCTGCCTCCCTTAGTGCTGCTTTTTGATAGGTTGGGCTATTTCTTCCTTTTGCATAAAAACAGGTGCAAAGAAGGAATTATGCAGTCCTGCTTTCTCTCTGCTGCCAGTTACCTTCTTGCCATCTGCTCCCATTAATGGACCTATTGTTCCCTTGACTTTCTTCTTGCCTTTATATAATGAAAAAAACTTTTTTTGTTATTTTTTGCATGAGTTGCGATCTTAGCTCATTCTGCACCTTAGCTTTCCTTACTCTTTCCTTGCAGGTTTGAGTTTTTTGTTGATATTCTCTTTTAGTTATGTGCCCCTCTTTCTATTTTTTATATTTGACCTTTTTGTCCCTTAATTTGTCAGAGAGCTCTTTGTGCAACATGCTGGTCTCATGTAGTTTTGTTTTCTCAAACTCTGTATCAAGTAGGAAATTGAACAGGTTACTGACCAACTTAGCTGACACCCTTGTCATCCAAAAGGTAGAGGGGGGAACTAGAGGATCACTATACTGGTCTTAGTTCTTACTAACCAAGAAGAAATGATAGAGTTGAAGTTGCAGGAACTCTGGGGGAAAGTGACCATATCACATTGGAATTCAACTGACCCAAGCTGTAGAACACAATCACACCAGTGTCTTAGACTTTAAAAGGGCTGATTTCAACAAACTTAGAGAGAGCTTTAGGAAGGATTCCATAGATGAAAATTTTAAAAAGGAAAACAACTCAAGAAGCTTGGGAGACTCTGAAATATTTGATTATAAAAACCCAGTCCAGGACAATACTACTGAAAAAGAAAAATAAGGATTCCCAAAAGAAACCAGCATGGTTGCACAATATAACTTTATGATAAACTGAAAGACAAAAAGGATAGGTATAAAAAATGGAAAGAGGGACATATAACTAAGACAGAATACCAGCATGTAGCCTGAATCTGCAAAGATGAAGTCAGGAAAGCTAAGTCTCAGAATGAACTAAGGCTTGCAACAAATGTCAAAATTATAAAATGATTCTTTCATCAAGTAAAAAATAAGAAAAATATCAAGGAAACAATCTTTCCATTAATGGAAGAAGATGGCAAGGAAGTGAAGGGGAGCAGGGAGGAAGCAGAACTACTTAATTAACTATTTGCATATGTCTTCACACAAAAAGAAAAAATAGCCCAACCTATCAGAAACAGAACCATACAAGACAGACTAAGAATATAAATTAAAATAGGTAAGAAAATGGTAAGAGAACACCTGTCCACTCTAGTTGTTCAAATCACCAAGACCAGATGGATTGTATCCCAGAATTCTGAAGGAGCTGACATGTGAGCTTGGAACTATTGAACGATATCTTTCAATGATCCTGGAGCACTGGGGAACTACCAGAGGACTGGAAAAGAAATGATATGGTTGCCATTTTCAAAAAAGGGATTCATGAAATTATGGACCAATCAGCCTGACATAAGCAACAGATCTGCAAACACCTACAAAGCAAGCCAAGTTATAACCAGAAGCCATATGACTTTATCAAAAACAGATCATGCCAAACAAATCTTATTTCATTCTTTGAAAAAGTGATTAAATTGGTGGACCAGCAAAATGCTGTGGAAATAGTATATTTGGATTTCAGTAAGGCAGATTAGAAAAATGTGGGATAGATAGCATCACCACCAGATGGATTTGTAACTGGCTGAAAAAATGCACTCAACATGTAGTTCTTAATGGAATTACAACTACATGGAAGCAATATCCCAAGGTTCTGTCTTATGCCCACTATTCTTCATATTTTATATAGTATGTTTAGGTATGTGTCATGTATGTCTTTCACTTTGAGAGTGGGCAACTAAATTTCATTTTTGATGTGTGCTGTTGTGTCCACAGTAAAAAAATGACAATAAAGGTTATCTTATCCATCTTATCTTAAATAATTTAGATGAGAGAATAAAAGGGAATTCATCAAATGATACCAAGATGACAGGAATAGCCAACACATAGAAGAAAGGCTCAAGATCCCGAAGAATCTTGACAAACTTGAACACTGGATCCTATATAACAAAATGAAATTCAATTGAGAGAAAAGTATAGTTTTGCACTTAGGCAAGAAAAACCAAAAGTACAGGTATAGAATAGGTGGAACCTGGCTCAATACCAGTAAGAGTGAGAGGGATCTTAGAATCCCAGTAAACAATCATTTAAATATTTATTTCTGCATTTTCTGTAGAGGAGCTGAAAGGCTTTCGACCTATGACTCATCATTCCCTGTTGCACTCAAAATAGCTGGAGAACATATAAGAAAAGGCAAGAAACTTCAAGATCAAAGTGTCTATTCTGGGCTGATATGTCAGCTCCACCCCTACCCACCTATGCTTTACCAAACACAACATGTCGCCGGGTTCCTCCTCCTTGTCTGGATTGTCATTTTTCTCCTTTCCAGTTATTCAGTTTTGCTACTGCTGTGTGTGATGGTATGAGACCAAGATAGTTGTGCATATTAATAAATATGGAT